TTTTTATATATATATATATATATATATATATATATATATATATATATATATATATATATATATATATATATATATATATATTTATATACATGTATATATATAGGCGTCACAAGATGACGTCATTTTCTCTATAGTTTACGAGCCTCAAACTTCCTTTATATGCGGTTAACCAACTATAATCTTTATTGCGGTTTGATAAAAGAACGCTAAACGGGCCATTACAACGATTAACGGCAATTCCAGTTTAAAACAATGACTAGGGCTATCATTTACTATAAAATACCATGCACATCCTTTCTGTTAATCGTTTGAAATGTCCTTACATATTATTATAAAACGTTCATGCTCCAAAAATCATAGCAATATACTCGCATTTCTTTATTATGGTCAATTTGAACATCGTAGAGCGACCGTTTGTTTCTCAAAGTATAGGTGCATTTTGTCTGCGCATGCGCGAGATCGTTCCGTGCGATTGCAAATGGCGGATTTGTTAGGGGGTTGTGTGTTTCGTCATGGTTTTTATGAGAAATATGGACTGAATTTTTGTTCGATCTCTCAGAATTCGTGTTTATTCTACACAGGTAAGGAGGGTATTAGTTTTATCACAGTTTAATTTTCTCCAAAATTCACGGTCTTTCGTTTAAATTTTCGTCATTTGCTCGACGCGATGCTTGCCTTTATAGTCCTTTATAGTAGGTTACTCGCTCGTTTGGTGTGTTTCTTGTTTTAAATAGGTTTATAATCTTTCTATGTTTGGATATTCTTCAATAGTATGAGTAACTAATGAAAATAATATAAATTTACTGCCATAATATTGGGATCAATATGGCTGTGTGCATTTGGTTGAACAGAGATGTTGTACTAAACCCTATACCGTTGCTTTAGGTTGATATTTTCCAAAATAATATATTCTCCTGCCAAACTTTTTTTGCTACTTTCTCATACAGGTTGTATTAAGTGTTAAAAATGTAGCAATTCCCTGATCCCTGTAATTTACAAATATATTGATGCAATACAGGGTCTGTGAGAAGAGCCCAAATTCCAAAATATATAACAAACTTCTATTTGTGTGTGGTGATGAAAAATAATCAAAAGTGAGTTCTACAAACTTCCCCATATTTATACTACAAATTGGTTCATGTGTTGTGATGGAAAGGACGTCAAGTTTGACAGCAAAAAGAATGAGAAAAGGGTACTTTTAGCACAGTCATGTCATGAGCAGCCCCTGCTCCAAACATATATGGGCCTACCTGATGGTAAGTTGTAAAAATATTTTTATTAAGTATTGGTTGAGTTTTCAGTGACAAGTGTTTGTTGTAGAACAAGGTGTTATTCCGTTGTGTTACAGTACAAGATTTAATGTTCAGGTAAGGTATTTATCTGAACAAAAATATTGTTACGATTACTATTTCTGGTCACAAATGCTAAATTATGGGGTTTAATTGACCTTCGTGATCAACGTTAATAAATAGGAATTCTTAAAAATCTGCGCATACAAACTTCACCAAAACAGTACATGTTTTTCCTAATCATCTGTCTCGCAGCTAAAAAGTGTTTGATCATCTGAAAAAATTGGGAAAAGTACTCATTTTTAGCATCATATATGTAAATTAGATACACAGCCAGAATATTTATTCCCAACTTATTGGGTAAAAGAAAAGAGCCACCAATATAGTCGGGAATGTGACTAATTAGACTTAATCGAAATCTTAATAGACTTGTTTTGTTTGGTCATACAAACCATGCTGCTATGAGACTGGAACGTTAAATCGTTTCAATTTTCAAGTCTATCTGAGATCATCTCCGACTATAACCAATAAGTTGGGAATCAATATTCTGGATGTATATCTGATTTACAAATATGATACTAAAAATGAGTACTTTTCCAAATTTTTCCAGATGATCAAAAACTTTTAAGCTGTGAGCAGATGATTAGGAAGAACATATACTGTTTTTGTGAAGTTTGTATGTACAGATTTTTCAGAATTTCTATTTGTTAACCTTGAAGGTCAATTAAACCCCATAATTTAGCATTTGTGACCAGTAATGGTAATCTTAACAATATTTTTGTTCAGATAAAAACCTCACCTGAACATTAAATCTTGTAAATTTAACAAACTGGAATAACACCTTGATCTACAACCAAAAATTATCACTGAAAACTCACCAATACCTAATAAAAAATATTTTTACAACTTACTGTCAGGTAACTAATCCCATATATGTTTGGAGCATGGGCTGAGGACATGACTGTGCTAAAAGTACTCTTTTCCAATTTTTTTGCTTCAAACTTGACGTCCTTTCCATCACAACACCTGATTGTGAAAATTTCAACCTAAAGCAACGGTATAGGGTTTGGTACAAGATCTCTATTCAACCAAATGCACAAAGCCATATTGATCCCAAAATTATGGCAGTAGATTTTCATTCTTTTCGTTAATCACTCATACTATTCTAGAATATCCAAACATAGAAAGATTGCAAACCTATTTAAAAGAACAAAACACACCAAACGGGCGAGTAACCTACATATTAAAGCTCAACTGACTATAGAAATGGGGACTATAAAGGCGAGCATCGCGTCAAGCAAATGACGAAATTAAACGAAAGACCATGTAAAAAAACTGATACAAGCCTTACCTGCGTAGAATTAACACGAATTCTGAGAGATCGAACAAAAATTCAGTTCATATTTTTCATAAAAATCATGACAAAACTCACAACCCCCTAACAACTCCGCCATTTGCAATCGCACGGCACGATTCTCGCGCATGCGCAGACAAAATGCACCAATGTTCGTAGGGTTCGTCATACTATAATACAACCTCGTTCCCAGGGCTTTCGTGTGAGAACGAGGGGAGAGACGGGAAAGCCCTGGTCTGGGCCGGTCAATTTTGCATTATGATTGGCTAACACCATATTGTCTAAAAATAACTGAACTTGACAGTTGACAATAACAATTCAACATTTGTATTTTTAACATTCTTGTGTGTACGAGTATGTTTTGGAAAATAATCTTTCAAAGTAAGACGTTTTCCCGACTGCATGATTTACTTTCGCCTCGGCAAGGCCGGCGAGATGAGGAGGGGCAGGGGGGGGGGAGCAAAATACCTGGGGCCCGGAGTGCTCAGAGTGGCCCAAAAATCTCGGTAAAATGTTCGTATATTGTTTATCATCGGCAATTTCAAGAGGGAGAGGGGCCCGTGTTCACAAATCGTCATTTTGTCCAGGAGCCCGTGGTTGGCTCTCGCCGGCCTTGCGCCTTGGCCGGTTACAAACTCAAATTCCGTGTCGACGTGAGCCGTGATGTTTCCTGACAAAACAAGAAACATCTACTATTATTTAAGCTGTA